TGTTGATTTTTAAAATCACAACTACCCCCAAAATGACTACAAAATAAGCAAGTATTACAAAATGAAATTAGTAGGTGTGCCTGGCTGGCTCAGTCGGTGGAGCATGCGGCTCTTGATCTCAGGGTTGTGGGTTCAAGCCCCACGCTGGATGTAGGGATTACTTAAAAATAAAAAACCTTTAAAAAATGAAGTTAAATTCAAGGGAGGCTTTGTTTGTTCAAGATCATCAGGACTCATGCTTTACCAACACTGTGCGCAGGCAATTCTTTTTTTTTTTTTTCTTTAAGATTTTATTTATTTATTTGACAGAGAGAGACAGAGTGAGAGAGGGAACACAAGCAGGGGGAGTGGGAGAGGGAGAAGCAGGCTTCCCGCGGGGCACGGGGCTCGATCCCAGGACCCTGGCATCATGACCTGAGCCGAAGGCAGACGCTTAACGACTGAGCCACCCAGGTGCCCGCACAGGCAATTCTTGAAAGCCCAAATTGAAAGGATCAACTCTTTACCTTCATGGAATTGTTCCGTTCACTTCAAGATATGATTAGGATTGTGACATATGGAAATCTTCATGAAAATGATTATCTAATCCAATCTATGCTGGAATTGGGAACAGAGAGTTTGTTCATGAAGTATTTACTACTTCATTTGCCGTTATAAACTGTTGCCAGTGGCATTTACAAACCAAAAGCCTCACTCCAGAACTTCTTGCAGGGAAAGGCGGCATCTGGGGCAGAGGTGTTGAGGTCCGCATGCTTCAGCTGTGGGTGCCGAGTGGGACACATTTGTCCATCATCTTTCTTTATTCCAGCTACTGGGAAACTTTGGTTCATCCAGCTTGATAGGGTATCATTTGCTTTCACTGGGCAAGAACCACAAATGCAGGAATGGCCATGAAAGCGCAGGATGGTACTTGAGGGAATCTTGAACTTAGGTGAAGTTTTGTAAAAGGAGAATTAAATTCTTAAAAACTCATCCCAGTCTGTCCAGCCTTGGTTGATGGAGAGGGTCTTCTGGTCATTAAAGAGGTGTGGGTTTTTTTGTTTTTTTGTTTTTTTGTTTAATAGAGATTGATCATCAAGCTTGTTCATGGCTTCTTTCTGATCAGCAGCTTAGTTTCCCAAGAACCTTTACATTGGGACAGGAGTCCTTGGAGAGTGGGCCTGAGTTTTGAGGTTACTACAGGGGTAATGCCCCCTTTATAAAGTAAGAAATGGACCACCTGCCTTAAAAACCAAGAAGTTTCTTTTAGAAAGAACCTTTCCCTAATTCCCTACCTATGTTGGGAACATGAAAAACTAGAGTTCCTGGACCTCTAATATTGCGGGCCACGTTCTGTACTGTGGAGACCTCATTGAGGTAAAGCGCTGCCAAAGCACCAGCCCACTGTCTCTCTGGGTCACTCTGTGTGTCTATGGCTGTCATGTCCCCCAGGAGATGCTATATTCCAGCTCTCCCTTGTGTTTTGTATCCTGCACAGCTCCTGGCACAAGGCCTTGCAACATGGCAGGCTGCTGAGTCAATGTTGATCTACGGCAGCTCTGACTTCAGATTCCATCAGGGCAGTTTTTATTTCAGAAAGTAAACAGGAAAGAGTGGACCCAGCTCAGCACTGGCCACCTTAGCAGTCTAAAGATAATATGCTGTTCAAAATGTGGGCAGTTCTTCTGATTTTCTGGGTTTATCTTTGCTCCCAGGGCCCTTCCGATAAAATAAATTCACTTCTCCCAAGAAACTCTCAAAAATACACTCCCTACTGAGGGTGGATCCATCTATCTTTCTAGAACTTATATCTTAAATTTCCCCTCTTTATATTCTTCCCCTCCTCAGACTACCTCCCACCCTTCTGCAGGGATAGCAAACACAGATCTCAGTGGGGCAGGCAGCCAGTTTAAATGAGGAAAGGGCACCTGTTAATATGAGGACTGGTGGGAATTGTGGCAAACTGAAAAGCATTCACATTTGAAAGTTTTTTAAACTGTCCTGGTCAGGGGCGCCTGGGTGGCTCAGATGGTTAAGCGTCTGCCTTCGGCTCAGGTCATGATCCCAGGGTCCTGGGATCGAGTCCTGCATCGGGCTCCCTGCTCCTTGGGAGCCTGCTTCTCCCTCTGCCTCTCTCTCTGTCTCTCATGAATAAATAAATAAAATCTTTAAAAAAAAAATAAAAAAATAAAAAAAATAAACTGTCCTGGTCAAATCAAATGCATGAACAGGAAGTGCAGTGCAGTGACCAACAGCCACTGTGGGATGTTTGATCTACACTGTATGGTATGAACTGCTTCACATGAACAAAAGGGCCCTTCCCAACTTGGCTCCAACAGCCTGCTCTTCAAGTCCAGCACTCCTACCCATGTCCCTACACTCTGCTTATGTGACATACTTTCATGCATACTCTCCCTGTCACTTTTGCTTGTGCATTCTTTTTGTTCCCCAACATTTATCAAACACCTAATTTGTATCAGGCACTATGATAGGTGCTCAGGAAACGATGGTGAACAAAAGTGACTGACTTCATGGAGTTTACAGTGCAGTGAGGAGACATATATGTTAGACCATTGCCAGCCTGTGATAAGGGATATGAGAGAAGTATAGGGTGTGACTGAAACAAACACAAGGTCACAGAGAGCAGGTTTGGAAGGCTTCCCAGAGGAGTAGAGAGTGAAAGGGCAAGGGTGGGGGTAGGGAGAGGGTTTCCTGGAAGGGGAGCAGTACTTGTTTAGGTCCCTAAGGAAACTAACATTCCACGTGGCTGGAGAGCATGGATGTTCGAAGATGGCACAAGATAAAACTGGGAAGGTGAGCAAAGGCCAGATGTTCCCAAGCTTTGTGCCCAAAAAAGGAGTTCAGATTTTGTCCAAAGGGCAATGGGCAGCCACCAGCAGTTTTTGGTCAAAGACCATTTTGACCCAAATTTGCATTTTAGAAGAATCCCTCTCATGTCAGTGTGGAGAACAGGCTGAAGTGAGCAAGCCTGGAAGTAAGGAGGACAATTACAGGGGTCTCATCATAAACCAGCCAGAGATGATGGTGGCCTGGCCTGAGGAGCAACAGTGGGGTGGAAATCATGGACCAGACTTGGGAGACAGAGTTGATATAACTCAGAGATTGATTATGAGAGCATGAGGAGAAAGACAAGAGGTGTTACTGATGAACTTGGGAGTGCCCTGATCTCCTACTCCTTTCAACTTAATTCTCTCATTAGTCCTCATCGACCATCTAGGCACCTTCTTACCTGCTGCCCCCAGCACTCTGGTTTAGTACAGCATATTGTATGATGGTGAGAAGTTGTATGTTCTTCTTCCTTGTTGTGTTGGGCAGGGACCTGTATCAGTCAGGGTCAAATTAGGAGATGGAAGCCACACAGTAATTTTAACAGCTAAATTTTAATGTGTAGAATTATTAACTGTAACAAGGGATTTGAGTAATGAGGGGTTGGCTGGTAAAAAGTAAAGAGAACTCTATGTGGCGCCTGGGTGGCTCAGTCGGTTAAGCGTCTGCCTTCGGCTCAGGTCATGATCCTGGAGTCCTAGGATCGAGTCCCAATCGGGCTCCCTATTCCATGGGGAGCCTGCTTCTCCCTCTGCCTCTGCCTCTCTCTCTCTGTCTCTCATGAATAAATAAATAAAACTTAAAAAAAAAAAACAAGTAGGGGCGCTTGGGTGGCTCAGTCGTTGAGCGTCTGCCTTCGGCTCAGGTCATGATCCCAGGGTCCTGGGATCAAGCCCCACATCGGGCTCCCTGCTCCGCAGGAAGCCTGCTACTCCCTCTCCCACCCACCCCCGCTTGTGTTCCCTCTCTCACTGTCTCTCTCTGTGCCAAAATAATAAATAAAAATCTTAAAAAAAAAAAAAAGTAAAGAGAACCCTAAAGAACAAAGGATCAGCAGATATAAAGTTCATAGACCACCTCTGACGCTGATGTAGAGCACCCAGGCTGAGAACCGACCTTGCTGGAGAGGACATGGCTGTGGGTGATTGGATGGCACAGAAGTTGCTTGGTGCTGTGCAATAGTATTTGCTGGAAATTTGCCCTCCAGAATTTGCTGGAAACCTACCTTCTGAGCTGCCAAAGAAAGTCATTTCTCAGAAAGGTGTCTCACTGGAGGCACCCAGCTACAAAGCCAACCAAAGGGTGTTTCCGGGAGAAACTACCTGGCTCCCGGGTGTTGCTAACCACTGTTACTGTAGGAACCAAGTTCTGGAGGAGCTACATGAGCTGCAGAGCCATGGTGCTGGAAAAGTCATCTGCACTGCAAGAGCTGGGCACTGAGGAATCCATGCATACTGCAGGAGCCTGCTGGAATACACCAGAATAGGAAGGAAAACCCCTTCCTCGTGCAATTGCTCTCCAGAGCTCACAGCTGGCGAAGCTTAACATTGTACCACCTGACAAAGGAAAAATTACTTTTATAGGGTTCAGCTCTATTTTTGCACAGCAAGCAATGAAGAGTGAATGTGGAACCAAGAAGCAGTAAATGTGTAAACAGCAAGACCCCTTCCTGTTGATCATAGCTGCTGGAGTACCACACAGGCTAGAAATCAACATGTCAAGGAAGGTTCAGAATGAAGAAGTGTATAGTCAAGTCCTTTGCCCATTTTTATTTTATTATTTAAAAAAAATTTTTTTTTTAAAGATTTTATTTTATTTATTTGAGACAGAATGAGAGACAGAGAGCATGAGAGGGAGGAGGGTCAGAGGGAGAAGCAGACTCTCCGCCGAGCAGGGAGCCCGATGCGGGACTCGATCCCGGGACTCCAGGATCATGACCTGAGCCGAAGGCAGTCATCTAACCAACTGAGCCACCCAGGCGCCCCCTTTGCCCATTTTTAAACTGGGTTGTTTTTGTTGTTGGTGATGAGGAGTTTTATACATTCTGGATCTAAATCCCTTCTCAGATACATGGTTTGCAAATATTTTCTCCCATTATGTAGGTTGTTTTTTCACTCTCTTGATAGTGCCCTTTGATGCACAAAAGTTTTCAATTTTAATGAAGTTCAACTTACCTATTTTTTCTTTTGTTGCCTGTGCTTTTTAGGGTCATATCCAAGAACTCATTGCCAAATTCAATGTCATGAACTTTCCCCTATGTTTGCTTCTAAGACTTTTATAAAGTCTGGTCTCATGTCTAGGTCTTTGATTTACTTTAAGTTAATTTTTGTATATGATGTAAGGTAAGGGTCCATCTTCATTCTTTTGCATGTGAATATCCTGTTTACCCAGCACCATCTGCTAAAAACCACTTGACCATATATGCTTATTTCTGGGCTCTCTCTTCAATTCCATTGGTCTGTATGCCGGCCTTTATTCCAATACCATACTGTTTTGATTACTTTAGCATCATAGTTTGTTTTGAAATCAGGGAGTATGAGTCCTCCAAATTTTTTTTTTCCAATACTGTTTTGACTGTTCAGGATCCTCAGGATCGGCTTTTTCTATTTCTGGAAAAAAAAAAAAAAGTCATTGTGTTGTGATAGGGATGGCATGGAATCCGCAGATCACTTTGGGTAGTATGGAAATCTTAACAATATGAAGTCTTCTAATACATGAATTTGTTTTTTCTATTTTTTTACATCTTCTTTAATTAAAAAAAATTTTTTTTTAAGATTTTATTTTTAGTAATCTCTACACCCAATGTGGGGCTCAAACCTACAACCCTAAGATCAGGAGTCACATGTTCTACTGACTGAGCCAGCCAGGAGCCCCTATTTACATCTACTTTAAATTTTCAGCTATGTTTTGTAGTTTCCAGTGTGCAAAACGTCTGCCTCCTTGATCAAACCTGTTCCCAAGTATTTTATTCTTTTTGATGCTATTATAAATGGAATTTTCTTAATTTTCTTTTCAGGTTGTTCATTGTTGATGAAAAATGTGACTGATATTTCAATGTTGATTTTTCATTCTGTAATTTTGCTGAATTTATTAGTTATAACAATTTTTTTGTGTGTATGTGTGGACTCTTTAGACTTTTCTACATATAAGATCATGTTATCTGCAAACAAGAATAATTTTACTGCTTCATTTCCAATATATATGCCTTTTATTTCTTTTTCTTGCCTAATTGTTCTGGCTAGAACTTCCAACACTGTAATGAATAGAAGTGGTAAAAGCAGGCATCCTTGTCCTGTTCATGATCTTAGGGGGGGGGGGTTTCAGTCTTTTACCATTGAGTGTGATGTTAGTTGTGGGTTTTTCACATACGGCGTTTTTTACATTGAGGAAGTTTCTTTCTATTTCTAGCTTGCCAAGTCTTTTATCATAAAAGGGTGATGAATCTTCACAAATGTTTTTTCTGCATCAACTGAAATGGTCATATGGTTTATTTTTGTCTATTCTGTTAATTTTCTTATTTTTTTATTAAAGTATAACTGACATATGACATTATGTAAGTTTTAAGTGTAAAACACAACAATTTGATATTTGTTTACACTGTGAAATGATCACCACAATAAATTTAACATCCGTCATCATACATAATTACAAAAATTTTTTTTCTTGTGAGGAGAACTTTTAAGATCTACTCTCTTAGCAACTTTCAAATATGCAACACAGTATTATTAACCATAGTCACCATGATAGACATTACATCTCCATGACTTATTTATAACTGGAAGTTTGTTGATTTTCTTACACTGAAACATCCTTGCATTCCAGGAACAAATCCCACTTGGTCTTGGTCTATAGTCCTATTAATATGCTGCTACTAGCAAATTTTGTTGAGGATTTTTGCACCAATGTCCATAAAAGATATTGGTTTATAGTTTTCTATAGTGTCTATCTGGCCATTTATGAGGGTAATGCTGACCTAACTGAATGAAATAGGAATGTTTCTTCCTCTTTCGTTTTTTGGAAAGAGTTTGAGAAGGACTGGTGTTGATTCTCTTAAGGTTAGTAGAATTCACCAGTGAACCCATCTGGTCAAGGACTTTTCTTTGCTGGGAGGTGTTTGATTACTGATTGAATCTTCTTACTAGTCATTAATTTATTCAGCTTTTCTATTTCTTCATGATTCAGTCTTGATAGGTCTGTGTTTCTAGGGATTTGTCCATTTCACCTAGGTTATCCCATTTGCTGGTGTAAAATTGTTCATAGTACTCTCATAGTTTTTCTTTTAATTTCTTTTAGATTGGTAAAATGTCTCCACTCTCATTTCTGATTTTAGTAGTTTGAGTTTCCTCTTTTTTTTCTTAGCCAATCTAGCTAAATGTTTGTCCACTTTGTTGATCTTTTCCCAAGAACCAACCTTTGGTTTGGCTTATTTTCTCTATCGTTTTTCTATTCCCTTTTTTATTTATATCCACTCTAATCTCTAACATTTCCTTCTGCTAGCTTGGGGTATAATTTGCTCTCCTTTTTCTGGTTCTTTACAATGTAAAGTTCGGTTGTTGATTTGAGTCCTTTCTTATTTCATGTATATGTTTACAGCCATAAATTTCCTCCCTTAGCACTACTTTTTCTGCATCCCTTAAGTTTTGGTATATTGTTATTCTGTTTTCATTTTTCTCAAGGTGTTTTCTAATTTCCCTTGTGATTTTTTTTCTTTGATCCATCAGTTGTTTAAGAGTTTATAGTTAATTTCAACATATTTGTGGATTTTCCAATCTTCTCTCTGTTATTATTTTCTAGCATCATTCCACTGTAATCAGAAAAGAAATTATGTATGATTTCAATTAAGACTTGTTTTGTGGTCTAACATATGGTCTATCCTGGAGAATGTTCCATGGGCATTTGAGAAAAATGTGTATTCTGCTGTTGTTGGTTCAACTGTTCTATACATGTCTGTTAGGTTTAATTGGTTTACATTGTTGTACAAGTCTCTCTCTTTTTTTTTGAGTAGACTCCATGCCCACTGTGGAGTCCAATGCAGGGCTTGAACTCACAACCCTGAGATCAAGACCTGAGCTGAAATCAAGAGTTAGATCCTTAACCAGCTGAGGCACCCCAAGTCTTCTATTTTCTTATTGATCTTTTTTCTGGTTGTTCTATCCATTGCAAGTGGGTATTGGTATGTCCAGCTATTATTGTAAAGCTGTTTATTTCTCCTTCAACTCTATCATTGTTTGCTTCATATACTTTGGATCTCTGGTATTTTATACATGTATGTTTACAATTATTCTATCTTCTTGTGAATTTATCCTTTTATCAATATAAATGTCCTTCTTTGTCACTTGCAACAATTACTGACTTAAAGTCTTTTTTGTCTGATATTAGTATAGCTACCCCAGCTCTCTTCTGGTTACCATTTTAAAAAAGATTTTATTTATTTATTTAAGAAATAGAGAGAGCACAAGCTGGTGAGAGAGGCAGAGGGAGAGGGAGAAGCAGACTCCCTTCTGGGCAGAGAGCCTGACATGGGGCTCAATCCCAGGGTCCTGGGATCATGACCTGAGCAGAAGGCAGACACTTAACTGACTGAGCCACCCAGGTGCCTCTCTTCTGGTCTCTTTTTCCATCCTTTCATTTTCAACCTATTTGTGTCCTTAGATCTAAAACAAATATCTTGGAGGGCATCTGCAGGGAGCCTGCTTCTCCCTCTCCCTCTGCCCCTCCTCCCTGGTCTTGCTCTCTCTCTTAAACAAAAAAAATATTTTAAAGATAGAAGTACATAAAAGATTACATGAAGTCAATCAAAGGCAAACTTTAAGAACGAAGACCAAAAAGACTAAAAACTTGTATGATGGGCTGCAGAATAAATCAAGCACATCCTTGCTAATTTCAAAAACTACCAGTTCTTTATTGGTGAAAACATGAATCCAGATGGAACGGTTGCTCTGCTGGACTATTGTGAGGATGGTGTGACTCCACGTATGATTTTCTTTAAGAATGGTTTAGAAATGGAAAAATGTCAACTAATTTGGCTATTGCTTTGGATGTATCACTTGTTGTCATAACTGGCTGCTGCTCTTCATCCACACAACACCAGGACTTAGACATCTGATGTCATCTTAAACTCTTCATTAACTTGACTTTGATTTATTTGGATGGAGGCACTGTTTTCAAGAAAAAAAAAAGTCATGTACGTTGTCTAAAAATAAAATGCATTTAAACTCAAAAATAAAATAAAATATAGGATATAGTTGGCTCATTAAAAAAAAAGATCTATTCTGCCGGGGCACCTGTGTGGCTCAGTTGGTTAAGCGTCTGCCTTCGGCTCAGGTCATGATCTTGGGGTCCTGGGATTGGGCTCCCTGCTCAGCAGGGAGCCTGCTTCTCCCTCGTGTTCTCTCTGTCTCGAATAAATAAATAAAATCTTTAAAAAATCTATTTTGCAGGGCGCCTGGGTGGCTCAGTTGGTTAGGTGACTGTCTTCGGCTCAGGTCATGATCCTGGAGTCCCGGGATCGAGTCCCGCATGGGGCTCCTTGCTCGGCGAGGAGTCTGCTTCTCCCTCTGACCCTCTCCACCTCATGCTTTCTCTCTCTCTCAAATAAATAAATAAAATCTTTAAAAAAAAAATCTATTTTGCCAATCTTTGTCTTTTGATTAGGGAGTTTTGTCCATTTATGTTTAAAGTAATTGCTGAAAGGGAAGTACTTACTTTTATCATTTTGTTATTTGTTTTTGTATGTATTATAGAAAATTACACATATTATGGCTTTTTTTGTTCCTCATCTCCTTTATTATGGCTTTCCTTTATGTTTAATTTTTTTGTAGTGACACTTTTTTATTTTTTTAAAGATTTTATTTATTTATTTCACAGAGACAGAGATAGCGAGAGCAGGAACACAAGCAGCGGGAGTGGGAGAGGGAGAAGTAGGCTTCCCCTCAAGGAGGGAGCCCGATGTGGGACTCGATCCCAGGACCCTGGGATCATGACCTGAGCTGAAGGCAGACGCTTAACGACTGAGCCACCCAGGCGCCCTGTAGTGACACTTTTGATTCCCTTCTCCTTTCCTTTTGTATTCTATAAATATTTTCTTTGTGGTTACCATGGGGATTGCATATCAAAGTTATAACAATCTATTTCAAATTGATACCAACTTGACTTCAATCACATACAATCAAAAACTGCTCTGGATACAACTAACACTATCCGTTATTGATAACACAAATTACATCTTTATGTATCATATACCCATTGACATAGATTTATAATTATCCCCAAGCACTTGTCTGTTAAATCCTGTAGAATATAAAAAGTTGAGTTACAAACCAAAATTATAACAATACTGGTTTTTATATTTGCCCATGTATTTACCATTCACAGAGATCTTTAAATCTTTATATGGCTACAAGTTACTGTCTAGAATGCTTTCACTGTAACCTATAGGGCTCTCTGTAGCATTTATTGGAAGACAGGTTCCTTAGCTTTTATTCATCTGGAAATGTCTTATTTTCTCCCTCATTTTTGCTGGGTATGGAGTTCTCAGTTGACAGGTTTTTTTTTTCTTAGAGCACTTTAAATATTTAATCCCACTCCTTTTGGGCCTCCAAAGTTCTTG